CATGTGCGTTCTGACTTGTACAACGCTCATGTCTTGACGCCACGTTGTTCGCCCGTCCTCCCGCGTGGAGGACGACAAGTACAGGCACAAGTTCGACAAAGAGATGATGGCGGGGGGGGGGGGGCCGCCGTGGAGAGGAGAGACGGAGGAGGAGTACGAGGACAATGATGTGAGGAACGTGTGGTGGATAGGTGGGAAGGTGGATAGGTGGGAAGGTGGATAGGTGTGGATAGGTGGATACGATGAGGAGACGGTTAAGGATGTGGAGGTTGGTTGGAGGCGGGGGTCGGTTGGAGGTGGAGGTCAGTTGGAGGTGGAGTTGGGGAGGTGGCGGTGCGATGGTGACAATTGTCGTCGACGTCAGCGCCACCGTTGACGCCGTCGATGTCACGGTCGTCGCAGGTCGTCGGTGTCGACGTCGCAGTCGTCGTAGACGTACGTCTTGGACATCGTCGTCGATTCGTGGCGGGCGCGTGGCAGACGAGGGGAGTCTGTCGCGAGAATCGACTTGGCGAAAAAGAAAGGTTCCCCCGAGCACAGCATGACCATTGATATTCCAGGGGGGGCGGTCGACCACGATGAGGTACACGCTCAATGGGAAGATGGAAGCAGACGAGTTGGTCCAGGGATGACGGTCGGAAATGGAGAACGCTGCAGGCTAAACAGAAAAGTCGACTGCCAGGGCGGTGGAGTGGCACCGATCAAAATGGGCGCAAAAGTTTAGTTGAGCAGTTCCACAGAACACAACGTAATGAGAGAATTCGATTCCTGGCTGTATTCTCGGTGAACCCCGTCGACAAAAAGAAATCCATGGTTGCGCAGCTGATGTGCCTTGCTCACTACGGGGAAGCCGCAGATTCATTACTCGAGAGGATTGCGAAAGGCCGTGCAGATGGAAGCATAGATAAAGATAAGGCAGAGCAAATGAAGCAGGAGTTCATGAGAGCGAACTGTGTAGGACAAGCGATGAAGCGACCAGCAGCTGCGCTGAAAAGGCCAGCATCAGCAGACGAGAAGATTTCACCGACGGAGACTAAACAAAAGAAAGTGCTTTCTGAAGACGAACGCGATGGAGATGGCAACAAAGAAGATGAGGGGGACCAGGGAGCTGACAAGGAGGAAGAAGAGGAAGAGAAGGGCGAGGGCGAGGAGGAGGAAGAGGAGGAGGCGGAAGAGGAAGAGGAGGGAGAGGAGAAGGAGAAAGGCGAGGAAGAAGCACCAGATGATAAAGAAGAAGATATTGAAGAAGCTGATAAAGAAGGTGAGGAACAAGAGGACGAGGAAGAGGAAGAGAAAGAGGAAGCAGAGGAGGCTGCCGTTGCGACGGCCGAGGAGCAGGCGAAGAAGCGCCCCGCAGGAGCTGCAAAGAGGCCTGCAGCAACGGCAGCAACGAGGCCCGCAGCGAGGAAGATGAGGCGGATTGCAGCGAAGAAGGAGGCATCGAGTAAGACTGCGCATGATACATCCGATGACGAGTTCGGGGCTAGCCTGAGCGACTGCTAATCATGGTGCCATGGGGGTGGGGTATGCGTGATGTTCACTTTGTTGTGCTGAATTGCTCGGTGTTTGTTCGCGTCCAGTGTTTAGATAATCACGTGGATCCATGCGCGCCCGTCTGCTAGTGGGAAAGAGGTTAGTGCGTCCATGCGACCCGTCTGCGACGGATTTGGGCGGGCAGGTGCGCTGCAGCCTCGAGGTCAGCTTCATCGCTGACATATGGTGCGCAGCTTCACTACATGGTGCGCAGCTTCACTACATGGTGCGCAGCGTCATCAACATGGTGCGCAGCATCATTGACATGGTGCGCAGCATCATTGACATGGTGCGCAGTTTCACCTACATGGCGCGCAGCGCGCAGCTTCACCTACATGGTGCGCAGCATTATCAACGTGGTGAGCAGCGGTAGGTGCGAGCTCTGCGGCGCTCGAGATTGTTTGTTTCTGGCTTGATGTCGGGAATGTGAGACTGGGACAGGGCGGGAGGAGGAGGAGGAGGACGAGGAGGCGGAGGAGGAGGATCAGGAGGACGAGGAGGAGGAGGAGGTGTAAGGAGGTGTGGGCGTGTACAGGTATAGATGGTGGCGTCGAGGAGTGGTGGGATAAAGATGAGGGTGAGGACGGAGATGATACAGACTTCAAGCACACACCATCTGTATAGAGATGTGGTGATCAGCTTGCGCTCAATGCCTTGACCGACGGCGTGTTCGGTTGTCGGGGCGGTGCGCTAAGATAAGTGTCGCGGTCACCGTCGTCACTGGAAGTGGCGAATTCCATAGGTTATCTGCGTCGTGAGCTCCCGCCTGCATCGCGCTCATAGGTTCGACGCAAGCGTCGATTGCGTGATTCAAGCAGGATCTCGCGACGCGGGTAACAGCCCTACGAGTTCCGATCCTCGCGTTCCTCGTGTCCCCGTTTCGTTCGTTTCTGGTGGAGCGTTGACCCGAAGTTTTACTTCCGACAACCCACCCCCCTCCTTGTGCCCCCGACCCCACAGAGCGTCGTGGCGTCACATATCCCGACGCACTTGCAGCCGTCGCATGGTCAAGCCGTCAGCCTCGTCGCCCCTCCGATTCGTGGACATACGTACCTACGTTCGGAGGGTTCAGTTTCACGAAACTGGTGATCACCAGGTTCCCTCGGGTAAAACGGGGGCGCACCAACGACCCGAACAAACACAGAGCCATCCCCGATAGCACTGGTTAAACCCTACAAAATCCAAAGCAAACCAAACAGAGCAACAACATACGCAACACTGTATGAAACACGCCCCCACCCACCCCCCCACCTCCCCGAAGGGAGCCATGGCTGCAGCCGCTGAGCCAGTTGATCCACAAGATGCTGACTTCGGAACGCACGTGGCGGTCGACGGCCCAGTAGAGATACCGAGCTCGACCGAAGCCGCCGTCAGCCCACCCACCCGACAGCCAAATGAGCCAGGACCTGGGACCACCCGCGAGGAACTCAGCCCAAACGCACAGGAAGCGTGGGACCGCGCTGTGGAAGATCAGAACCGCGTGGAGGGTCTGATCGAGCAGGAGCAGGCACAGATGAGAGCGGACAGGGAGATGGCCGAGGCGCTGGAGAAAGCAGAGGATCGCCCACAGCATGAGAGCACGTCATGTCAATCAAATATCGTGTTGTTCAGTTGTGGTCGTCCACCCACTATTACCTACATAGCCCTACAGATCAATGTCTAATGCTGCGGTCTTTCGGTATGCGTTTCATTTCTTGAGGAGCTTTTTGGAGGCGGTGAGGAAGAGGATGTGGTGGTCATCGGGGACGATGGTGGCCAGCAGACCCGCGCCATCAAGAAAAAGAAGAGGAGGCCAGGGCGCAAGGGTCAGAGGAAGAGAAAGGATATTACACCTGAGGAACATAATGAGGAAGCAGGAGATGCAACTGTCACCCAGCCGCCTCAACCGCCCGAGATTGCACCAGCCGCCTCCCCCAGCGCATCCGAGACGCCAAAGATCGGGAACGCCATGCCCAAGAGAAAGGAGAAGAGGAGTAGGACGAAGAAGCGCGGCACTCAGGACCGTGGGGCAGGATGAGCATGGCAATAATGAGGGAGACGGTGTGACGAAACGCGGGGAGGATATGAGCGAATGGAGTTGGGAGGATAGGGTGGGGGCGCAGCGGTAGCAGGGAGAAGTGACGCCCGCCAGGATGTGAACGCAGAGGAAGCGCTCACGGATGTGCAGGTGGCGACCGAGGATATGACCTTGTCTTCGCTCTCCTTCTCCTCCCTCCCCCTCTTCTCCTCCGAGGTATTGGTCTCCTCCTCCACCCCCTTTCCGCCCTTTTTGGGCAAGGACGCGTCCACGACTGCTGGTGGGTCGTCTGCGTTCGTCTCGCCTGCCCCTTCGACGGCGGCGCCCAGCGAGGTCACGATGCAGTCCGAGCACGTGTCCTTGTGGCCCAAGGATTCCGAGTGTTTCAAGAAGTTCATGGCGGCCAACCAGCCCGACGTGGAGAAGCCTGATGACGACCTGACCTACAGGCAGGCGATCTTTGCTGAGCTCAAGAAGGAGGTCAAGCAGCTGAGCGGCGAGATCCTTGCAGACATCGGCGGAGATGCGGCCAGCAAGCAGGCTCAGATGAACGAGGTGCTGTCAAAGTTCTACAACGGCGGGCTGCTCGGCAAGCTCCACGAGCTGCGCGGGTCGGACCCGCGGGCGTCGCATGAGATTGAGAAGACGGACGAGATGGCGGACCAGGCCAAGCGCGACCGCGCGCTGTTCAAGGAGATGGAGGAGAAGAACTACCGCTTCGGGACGCACACGGCGAACAACCCAGCTGGCACCAGGTGGCGCCGCGCTCTTCAGGTGAGCGAGACATTGCGCACGAAGTATGCGAAGCAGCACGGATACGGCAACCAGAGGGAGTTCCGCGCGAAGTGGATGAGGAAGGAGCACGCACAGTGGAAGAAGCGATGGGTCAAGAGCAAGCTCACAAAGTTCGAGCGGGCGCAGATCAAGCACGGCGAGTATTGCAGCCTCTCCAGGATCGCGAAGATCGAGGGAGGCGGAGTGGAAGGCAACAGAATCGCGTTCAACCATGCCACCAACGCGGCCATGATGGGCCGCATCTACGTGAAGTACGACAGTATGGGAGAGTGCCTCAAGTTCTTGCACTTCAGGCACCAGCTGCGGGAGACGTTCTCGCAGTCGTGGCAGGAGCTCGAGCAGTGGACGGAAGGTGTCGATGGTCGTGCTGTGAGGATGAAGTGGGCGAACAGGAGGCTGAGGAGGAAGAGGAGGAGGAGGGGGAGGAAGCAGAACAAGAAGAGGAGGAAGAAGAGGAGGAGCAGCCCAAGCGCAAGGGAAAGAAGAGGCGCACTACAACAAAGGAGAAGAAAAGAGGCAAGACAATGAAAAGAAAAGAAAGACGCGGGAAGGAATACACGGACAATAAGAGAAAGAAAAAGATGCCACATCAGACGACGAAGGACACGAACCGCAAGAACAACGACCGCAAGAACGAGGATGTCCCAACCCCAAGGACGCAGCAAAAAAAGACGCCAGAGGAGGTCGTGGAGTTCAACAAGATGAAGAAGATATACGATCAGGCGATGCTGCACGCGTCGAAGATCGACAGGAACGTGTCCACGCTGAAGGAGTGGGCATGGGCGAAGAAGAACCCCGACCTGATGACTACGTTCAAGGACGCGAACGCCAAGGCGATATCCAACCAAACTCCTCCTCATCCTCCTCCTCATGGTTCTCCTCCTCCTCATCCTCCTCCGCCTTCTCCTCTTCCTCCTCCCCATCCTCTCCCAATCTCCTCCTACCCCTTCCCGTCTCTCCCTCCAACTCCCCATCATCCAATCCCTCCTCGTTTGTCACGCCGACCTTGGGGGGGGGGGGGAAAGGGATGTGGGGTAGGGCAGAATGGTAGCAGCAAAGGTGACCGAGCTGATGAACTCCCATAAGTTCCTCTCGCGGCTCATGAGCGAGTCGAAGCTCAACGAATACAATATAAGAGGTCGGGGGAGGGGAGCTGCGGGCAGATATCGATCAGCAGGGGCGAGCGTGTACGCATTGTTTGAATATCGTGCGCGCGTGTGCGTGTGCGCGCGTGCGCGTGTGCATGCGTGTGTGCGTGTGTGTGTGCGCGCGAGGGATAAGGGATAACGTGCATGTGCATAGCGAGCGCGCTAAGGGAGGTGGGTGACGCCCCCTACAAGAAGCAGCTGCAGAAGGCCGTGGCGACCCTCAAAGAACCGAGCCAGAAGCTTCTGGCTGCTTGCACTAGCCTGGAGGGCATGAATAAGCATGTGTATAGGGGCGACGAGTGATCAGCTAGTTCGTTTACATCCAATAGCAATCGGGAGAGCAATTCGAACGCGAGGAGTTTTGCTAGTCCTTCCAGGGATGTCCCGATGACCTTGGCTAGTTTTGCCGCTTGTGGAATCCCCTGGCGAATTTCAGAAGAAAAAACAGGAAAACAAAGAAAAAACGAAATCGAAGCCGACGGGCCCGCAACAAAACTCCGACAACACTCCGGCACAACTCCGGCAAAACTCAAACAAAACTCAGACAAAACTCACCCAGACCATATATATATACACACAAAAACGGACAACAAAACTCCGGCAAAACTCCGGCAAAACTCCAGCAAAACTCCGACGCCGAAAAATCCTGACCGAGGACCTGTCCGACTTGATTTTTTTCACGATCCGAAGGGTGCGATCGGTTTTTTGCGAACGCCACTGGGAGCTCGATTGCATTTGGACGTCTCCGCCCTGGCAGCTTTCGAGCCAGGTTGCCCTGATGCGACGCGCGCGATTGTGTCGATATGTCAGGCTGGGTATCGGTTCAGGCAACAGCTTGAGCATGCGCGGGCCTCTTGCATTCATGTTGTTGTGGGACGGCACGCGTGTGGGATCTTCATTGTTTGGGGTGGGGTGGAACAGCCGCCCTGAGTATGTGTACTCGATTCCCTCGACTAACGCAGCGTTGCACCGCTGCGCCCCCCCGCTGCACAGTGAGCGAAACAGAGTATAGAGGATGCTGAGGAGGACAAGGGGGATGAGGAGGAGGGGATATAAGAGGTGGAATAAAAAGAGGAGGAGGAGGAGTGGAGTAGAGGATGCCGAGGGATGAGGATTGAGGAGGGAGACGGGGGAGACGTGCATCACATGCGGGCTCGGCTGAATTTATGTTGCGGTGGTTATGTGACACGTCGAGGCTAGTAATTCAGCGATCTGGGGTGCCGACGAGCTTGTATATACAGTCGGCCACATCGAAACACTGTTTCGGCACTTTCGGTGATCGCTGTGTTTAAACGCTGTAACTCCACGGTGTGCACCGTGGGCTGCGGCGGTCTAACTCGATGCTAGTTTGTGCGTCGGACATGTTATGAGGCCCCCTCTGCTTCCATGATGTTTCGGACAATGAAATGAGCCCCCCTGCTTACATGGTCGGAACAGCGCAAAAGAGCCCCCTGCTGCAAGCAGTGGAGGAGAAGTAAGGGAGAAATATGAGAAGGGGAAGGAAGGGGGGGGGGAGGGGAAGGAAGAGGATGCGCAAGACGCTGAGGAGGAGGAGGAGGGGCAGGGGGGGGGGGAGAGGGGGGCGTGGCATCACTAGCACAGTCACTCCGACACTGCAGCGTCGCCCCAGAGCCGTTAGGTTTCAATTCATGGGGGGGGCGCTGTATTCGCGCGTGACCCGAGGGGGCAAGAGAAACGAGCTTCTGGGTCAGATGCCTTCGATATCCTACTCGGTCTGCATGGGTCATGTAAGCGTATGAGTGCGCGAGACTTCGCGATATTGCGTTATCGTTTTGATGTGTGTGCTGTTCCTGGGGGCGATTGGTCCACGTATGCTATGAAGCCTGGGTGTCCATCTGGGAACTATAAACAATGCTTGGACTGGCGATTGCCAGAGAGCGGGCCGTTTTATCGTTTTGACAAACCAGCAGCGGTGCGCAAACACAGCACAGAGAAGACCATGCGAATCCCTGTTAGGAAAGTATACAGGACACTAGCTGCTGAAGTTCAACGTAATGATCGTGTGAGGGAAGCTCTCAAATATGGCGAACATGATGTGTCGGACAGTGTAATGAGCCTCCCTGCTTACATCACTCACCCTCTCGTTCAACAGTCACGTGCCCGTGGCGACGACTATCCTTTACCCTTGGCTGTGTATATGGATGGGTTGAGGTATGCAGGTCAGGCCGCAGGACGCAGCAATACCTAGACTGGCGTATGCACGCCGATAGCCCCCCATAAACACGCGCGTCACTCCCGTGATCATGCATGCGCATTTCTATGTTTACACATCTACGCATGCACACATGGAGCACACAGCCGCAGCATGCTCGCGCACCACGTGTTGTTCTACACATGTATGTTAGGGAACCATGTAAACCAATCACGCACAGTGCACCGCCCGAGGGGCGAGCGGTTAACCTTCTGAGTTTCGCTAGTGTATTTACTGACGGATAAGCGGCATCTCATGGGATTCGCGAGGAAAGAAATGCTTTGCTCATGCGGCTGCTCAGGATATTGCACCGTGCACTCATTGCTCAAGGTATTACAGTGGCAGCTCCGAATTCTGGTCCATGGGAAGCTGCCAACGTTTGGGCATGATGGCACAGAGCTCAGGGGGGGCAACAAGGATAGTGAGGAGGGGCGCCTACCATTCAAGGGCATGGTTCTTTACATTAAGGGGGATTGGAGCGAGCATCATCATTCGACGGGACTTTCAAGCTGGCAGAACATTTACCATTCGTGCCCTTTCTGTGCGATCCCCAAAGGCATCCGCGACGCTGGTAGACCAGCTTCGATGGCAAATGAATATGAGTACACAGGGAAGACCCACGAAGAGTTTGGTGCTGCTTGCTCGAAGTGCGAACGTCATGTTATCATTGGGACGGTCGCCCTTCGGGATACCATAGCAGGTCTGTTAGTTCGGGGCCCTGAGCCGAGGAGGGGGAGAGTCCTGAAATCTGATCTTTCTGACCCCCTGGGAACATGGCGCCTGAAGAAGGGCGACAGGCTGGAGCCATCGGACGAGCTCATGGTGCCATCGATGTTTGCGTCCCGACCTGTTCCATTCACTGCATGTTTTTGGAGAGCATCTGTCGACTCGTTCAAGCGGTGCACAGATGCAGTCCATCATAGGTGCCCAGTGTTTGATGCCAATTTGGGCACATCCCCATCGAGAACGCTGGCTATAGATTCCCTACACACCTATTATTTCGGACCTATGATGCGCTGGTGTTCTGTTGCGTTGCAGCGTATACTAGCCCTGAACCCCTGGAACGCGCAGAATGAGCTTCGCTGCAAACGTTTAGAATCAGAGATGTTTACTTATTGTCAGCGGAACAACGTCGAACACTCTCGCAGGATTGGGCTGTTGACCGAAAAGATGCTGGGAGGGGTACAGGATGATGACGAGTACGCAGGCGGAGTGCTCAAGCGAAAAGCGCCCGAGACCCTCACAATACTGGACTTTGCATTCGACAGGCTTCGTATCTATAACAATGTTGAAAAAACACGCTCATCTATTGAAAGCTGGGGAAGCTTTGCGACGGCTCATGGACATCTGCAGGTTATCACCCAAGAAACTTTCTGGATCCCAGCACCAAGGATTGGTTGATTCGCGTGATAGGTTTCTTTCCAACGCCGAGAGTGCGGGGGTCAAGCCGACTCCAAAGTTCCACGCGTTCGTGCACCTAGCGAAACGGACGCTGTGAGTCCTTAAAAGTACCGCCACATCACGTGCAAACGTGTTCTGTCGAAAAACGCACCCCTGGCGCTCCATCGGCGTTCTGTTCTTGTCCTGGGGGGTGGGCCGTGCGATCCGCGCGTGAGCAAACAACAAAATGAGCTCACAGGAGCTTCTCATTTGGGAACCCTCGATGCTACGATACATTCGTGGATGAGGGATTGAACCTGGTGCTCAGAGACTGCGCTGAACGCGCGCACCCGAATACCATTCACCTCAGCGTGTACACGTGCTTCCAGATCATAGGCATGCTTCGTACCAACGCGTATCTATTCGCTGGACAGCACGAGGGCGGGTACGATTATGATCTAGGAATTCGGTGGGAAGCATGTGCAGTAAAGATACGGTAACGTCATTGTTGCGTCGCGGGCTGCTTCGGGCGAATGCGATGGCAAACGACAACGGAATTCATGCGTGCCCATGCCTTGTAATTGTTGCAGCTAGCCACGCTCACGCAGTCAGGTTGACGGCGACATGATGCAAAGACATCTGGTACAGCAGGGTGAAGGGGCGGATGCTGAGGATGAGGAGGGCGCGAGGACACGGGAGGAGGGGGAGGACGAGGAGGAATAATAGCAGGGCGAGGAGGAGAGGGGGGGGAGGAGGAAGAGTAGCATGAGGAGGAGAGGAAGCGGACGATGAAACGGATGATGAGAGGGGGGGATGAAGAAGAGCGGGGGCGGCGGATGAGGGGGGGCCAGTAAGGGGAGGTCGGCACGGGGAGGTATAGGAGCAGGATGTTGAGAATTGCGAGGATGGTGAGGTCGAGGAGAGAGGATGATGAGGAAGAAAGAGCAAGTAAAGAACGGGCAAGCTGTGGGAGCGGCAGGCCGTGGCGCTGGAGACGACGATGATCCAGCTGATGGTGACGAACCTCCACGGAAGCGCAGACGCATCTGACGCGCGGCAGGTCGCGGAGGGACTTGCGAAGAGAGATTTGATG